AGCCAGGGTGCCACTGGCCCTCTTGGCCACCTGGGCACACTGCTGGCTCATGTTCAGGCGGCTGTCGACCAGCACCCCCAGGCCCTTTCCCGCCGGGCAGCTCCCAGCCGCTCCTCCCCACGCCTGCAGCGGTGCCTGGGGTTGTTGTGCCCCACGTGCAGGACCCGGCCCTGAGCCTTGTTGGGCATCCCGCTCCCAGCATCACTGCAGCGCTCTGCAATGATAATTAATGAATGAGCTCTGCAGAAAGCCCCACTGATGGGCTGCACTAACCGCTGCCCGCGGCCATCTGAGCCGGCTGCTTCACAGCCCCGTTGCCTTCCAGGTCGGCGATGAGGAGGAGATCTTGCCCATCAAGCTGCAGAATGAGATGCTGACGTCTCTGAACAGGCACAACAACAACAACAGTAAGGGCATCTCTTTATATACGGTAAAACCGATGCAAGCTCTCCTCCCCAGATGGCCAGAGTCCTCAGCAAAATGGTTTTCCTAAAGACACCTGGCCTAGGATGTTTCTGCCCCCATTTGCACTAAAATGCAGCCACGGGAGAGAAATCCCTTGGCCTTTACCCTGTCCTGCGAAACATGAAAGCAGGAACAGTTAATTCTGCTGAAAAAAATCAGGGCTCGCCAACATTTGGCCCACAAAGATGCCTCCACCCTGGAAAGCAAACACAGCCGGTGCTCCCTCAGCAAAATTAGTCTGATCTTCGTTTACTGGCAGAGGGAGGTTTTAAGCAAGTAATTTCTCGGGATGCAAACAGAGACTGCAAACTGGCCAGGTTGAAATAGGTCCGTCCTCTCTATGCTCAGAAGTCCCATCCCCACCTCTCGTACTCCATGTCCTCTTCCAGCGTCCGAGCAGGTGAACGCGCTCGTCTCCGAAGCCTTCGTGCAGTTCTTCGTCCGAATGGTTGGCCACTACGCCTCGCACATCAAGTGGAGTAAAAACGGCTCAGGCACCTTCCAGGAGCGAGCCTTCTGCAAAGCCATCACCTCCAAGACCAACCGCAAGTTTGTGAAGAAGTTTGTGAAGACGAACATGTTTTCCCTATTTATTGAGGAAGCAGAAAAGAGCAGGATCCCCCAGGAAGGTAAATGGCCCCGTCTCTCCTTCCCTCTCCGGTCGGGTGAGCTCTGCAAAGTCCTGGGCTACTTGGTTAAGGGAAAGCGATGCCCCGTGCCCGGAGAGGCATGCAGCTCAAGGCTGAGGGTGCTCAGGGCAGCGAGTAGCACCCGTTTGCTCTCAACAGCTGCATTGTTTCGGCCCTGTCAAACAATCAAAAAAATCCCTGGGCTCATTTTAGATCTTGTTGCTTGACTGGGGACGGGGCAGACTTACTGAGAGCTCGATGTTTAGGCAAACGTGCCAGTAGCAGCGCAAATATTTGGCTTGGATGCAGGCAGCAGCTGGGAGCTGGCTCCTGGCTGCGCTGCCTGCGAGCCCTGACTCATATCTGCCACCGGCTCCGGCGTGGACCCGCGGCGACTGGGTTGGTCCTTCCCCTTTCCCGGGGATTTACAGGGTACTGGGCAGAGCCAAGCCTCCTCCCTTTGATGAGGTCAAACAGGGGTGACGGAGGTTGAGGAAGCCACCCAAAACATCTGTCGGTGGCCAGAGACATCCTGGCCTGGGACTTGCGACCCCCAAGGTCTTGCTGCACTAGGAGAGAGTGCAAGAGGGTGAGTCCTTGCGCTCTATCAGCAACTGCTGCGTCGGAGCAAAGCAGACGTCCCCTCGGACGGCACCGCGTGGCAGCGAGCGGCAGATGGTGCCCGTGGCGGGTCCCTCTCCAGCCCGCCCGGGGCCCGGCACTACCTCGGTTGCTGCTTTCTCTGCCCTTTTAGGTCAGACTTTATAGGGCAGGCATGGAGCTGGGTCTGCCTGGGGATGGCACAACCCCAGCTTTCTCGTTATATTCCCAGTCTACGTCACCTTCTTGGCTATTCGCATTCCCAGGGTCTCCCGCTTTCTCTCTTCCCTGCTGGTTGGAGAGGAAACACAAAAACTGAACAGGAGTGAAAGCGTGGGTTAAAAACTTACACTAACCCAGCATAATAAAGCCCATTTTGGGTAGGTGAGAGGGATGGGTGGAATTGCAGCAACCCCGATTTCAGCTGGGTCCTCACCTGGGTGCAGATGTCCGTACCCCAGCACGGTTTGGCTCCCGGGGTGCAGATGTGCTCCCCAGACTCGGGCTGTGCAGCCCTGTATCCTCCCCAGCCCGAACGCTTGCATTTCACTAACGACCTTTTCTCATCCACAGTGTATTTCCAGCAGAAAATAACAGAGTACCACGAACAGAAGAAGCACCGAAGGGACTCCTGAAGTCCAGCCTGGGAAGAGAGGAGCAGGGCTGGGACCGGGCAGCCCGCCACCAGCAGCGCCACGCTGCACAGACTCGACGCATGCCCCGTCCAAGGGCAGAGCACGCTGGACTCCGCTGGATCTGTCCGCCGGTTCCTACCTACCCGTGATTCATGAGATGCGTGGGCAGCGCTGAACACCAGTTTCTACCCTTTCCTTTTTTCCTCAGGGCATCGTTGCACTGGAAAACGCTTTTGCACAGAGCTAGCAAGCAGGCTGTGATTTCTTTTCCAATCTTGCTAGCAACTGGGGACAAACAGCGGCTCGCAGTGCCCGGCCCTGCACAGAGTCTTCGGCCCCGTCAGGACCTCACGCAGCGAGGGAGGGAAGTTGGGGAGCTGGCTGCAGGACAACAAAGGTCGTAAAGTAATTCTTAGAGACAAAAGAAGAAAAGATGAGTAGGAAATTGTATTATTTCTAATTAAAACAAACCTAGGTTTTGCAAATACGTAACATCCTACTGAAGAAGTTTCTGGGGTTTCTACTATTAACAGCTGTTTCACTTTATTTTCTATCAAGATATGCTCATTGTTAAATTACCGGCAGGAACAGTTGCGGTGGATTTTAGTGGTTTCCTCTATAGCGGCTGTCTGCTTCGTTGGTACTGCTTAGTTTAGCTCTTTAAAGAAACAAAAATATTCTTTTCCAACAGGTTATTTATTTGTGCTGTAAGCAAACTGTGAAGGCCACAGGGCTGTGTTTTATAGTAGAAGGAAACGGCTTTGGGTAGGGAGGAAGTATTTGTTAAATCCAGTAGTAAAACATGTCGACATCCTCCTCGTTTCTGGTTTTGGTGCCAACTTCTTTTAAAACCTTACAGTTCATTCACCCATCATCTCTGAAATGCGATGCCTGCAGCAGATTTAAAGCTAAATTATGGTTCTGCCCCTTTCCTAATGCGCTCATCCAGGGAATAAATATTGCAGCAGGGGAAGCTGGTGCTGGCTGCAGATCTGCCTGGTTCCTTCCCAGACAAACCAGGGCCAGACGCTTCTCCCAGCAAGGGCTGGGGTCGAAGGCAGAGCTTCATCCTCCTCTCTGGGATGTTATAGCCAAGCTGCCGTATCGCTCGGTACCCACTAGACCCGTGCACACGCACAGAGGTTATCAAAAATACAGTTTAATACAACTTTTGCAGCGGTATCGAATGCCACAGTGAGAGATTTTACATAAGCACTAACAAACAAGCAGGCTGACTGCCAGGCAGCTTTTGCTTTCAGAGCTGTTGAATATCTAACGAAAACAAGACAGAGGTAAAGGGCGTTTAATTTAGAAGCAACTATTTGTGCAGTCACGCACAAATGTAAGCGACAGAAACACTTGGACAGAGGGAACAAACCCAACAGCAATGAAACTTTCTTGCCCTGCTGAAAGAAAACTGTTGATTTTTTTGTTCAGCCCCCGTGTGTGTTTGGAGGGGGGAACAAGAATTATTTGTTAGAAGAAAAGGGGATTTGGGGCACTATGGGTATCTTCTCTGGCTCAAGTTCCCCCTCACGGGTAGAGAGGGTGTTACAGGTTTCACTAGAGGAAATTCAAGGTTAGTGCTCTTTTTCTGTGTTTCTTTTTTTCATTTAAAAATATTCACCTACCAGCAGAAAATTGTGTGTGTGGAAAATGAAGGGCACGTATCAAGAACTGTCCCTTTTGAAAAGACCACTTGCCTCCCCCTTCCCCCGCTTGTTCATTACCATTTTGAGAAGATGCTGAGCTTTTTGGTCGGGAAGCAGAACACCATCCCGTTGAGAAAAATGGGAAGCGGTCCTTGCTTTGGCAGTAGCTCTTTAAAAAAAGAAGAATTAGAAATCCCATAAGGGACTGGATTGTGTGGTTGCTTAACTCCTGCCAGAGAAAAATGCAATAGAAGGTTATTCCTTAGCTGCTGAAAATGGATACGCAAAAACTGATCCTTAAATTTAAGAAAAAATGTTCAAATGTAACCAGTGCTACGGATGGCAGCAAGGGTTAATTACAGCAAGGCAGAAGGGTTGGTGCTACCTTGCTGCTGATCAAAGAATAGGTTGAAAGCCGGTGTTAAGTCACTTGAAGTGCTTTTCCTTTTAGTATTGTTATGGAAAAAGGGACCCAGATCCATTCCCAGTGACCAGCCCAGAAAAGCCTCCTTTGGGAAGCGCATCAGCTCTTAGCTCTGCTTCTCAGCTGGCTACAAAAGCAACAGGCACAGAGTAACAGGAGCAAGCGGGCCCTTTTCTGGCACTAACTTCTCTCCCCACCATCCAGCAGCAGCTTCAGAGCTACGGGTGGTGGCTGAAGAAAGAAAACAAGCCCAGGGGCATAATCTACCCCAAATCTCCTCTCACGTCTTTTCCCTTTCAGTATCACTCCTCCTGACAGCTCCGTCCTTGTTTCCTAAGCCCGTGTGACTGATGTCGTTCCTGATCAGCACGTTTGAAGGGTTTCTTGAGTTGGGTTGGCCTAAACGTTGAAAAGCAGCTTGATATTCTCATGCTTGCCTACTCACCTGACCGGTGCAATCTGGCAAGAGCTTTAATGCCCTCCCTTTAACGCCCAGAGGGCGGACAGACTTCATATTGCAAGAAGTACGCACATCCCTGTGATCAATCAAGATTGGTGAAGAAAAAAGACACCATGCTGAAAGGGCAGATGTTGAATAGAATACCCTTTTTATTTCTTTGGACTCAGTCTGCCTCTGTTAAACCACCTACCTGGAGGTGGGGGCACTGTGTTTGCTGCTAGAGACACCGGGCAAACTCAGCTGCTGTTTGCCGGGGGCGCAGACGCATCCAGCTGGGCTCAGGTCACGTTGCAGCCTATCAGCAAAACTTGCAGCATGTTTTTAAATCCTTCTTCCTGCTCAAGATTTGTCTAACACTCAATCTAAGACTCCAACAGTAAATAAAAGAGTGCCAAGAAATGTTTCCCTGAACTGGAAAGTGCTCATTTATTCTGCTAAATTGTTAACATAGTTCCCAGCATAGTATTGGCCAACTCACACTCGTACAAACAACTCCCAGGCATGGTTTAGGAGTCAGCGCAGGAATCGCTCCTGATTTGCGGCTCAATTCCTGCTACGCAGCTGCCCTGCTTGGAAGATAAGTTTCGCGTTATGGCATGTGCCACCCTCTGCCAGCTGGCCTCAGTGACAGCAAACAGTCCTGGGCATATTTAACCTCCCAGAGTCAATGCAGTCGTTATCGCTAAGTGCTTTCAGATTGCTCCAGAACAATAATGGACACGGCTCCTACCTCAGATCACTTCCCACTTGGCTTTAACCTCTGTAAAATTGCTGCAGCCTTCACGTCTCGCTCTCTGGAAATGCTTGAACTTCTCTGCAACTCCAGTCCAGACTCAGAGATGGAGCATAGCAGCGCTGGAGGTACCTGGTGTGTGCAGGGTAGGAAGGAGAGAAGAGGAAAAACACTAATATGAACCAAAACTGACACTCAGAAGAAACAGAAACAGGCCCCGAGGTATCGTGACCTCTTTCCTGTGTTAAACTCCTTGCCAAAGCAAGGGAACGCCTTTACCAGGTCTGAAAAGAGGCAACACTCCAACACCACGTGGAAATTTTCAGCTTGCCTTTACAGTTTTCTTAACAGAGAACAGGTCGGATTTGTTTTGAAGGGAACATACTCAGCCACCGGTGTTCCGGGAAGCTCCCCGGGCTGCTGCTGCAAAAGCTCTTCCTGCTAAGCGTCTTCTGAATGCAACGAAGTGAAAAAGCACGTCGCGAGGTCAGGCCGAGCCCACAGAAATCCTGTCGCCCTTCTCAACTCCTCGAGCAGCCTGAGCTCTACAAGCGTATCTAAGATAACCGACGATCACGAGACAGTGCTGTAACGTCCAAGTGCCAGGGGTAAAGTTCATTTATTCCATTCTTTATTACAGGCATTTATACAATACTTACATCCATAGCAACACTTTATATGGCTTGGATTACCAGCAGTAGCTATCCCCTGATAACACTGAAACTTTACCAGGATAGAACCGGGAATTTTTTCCTGGCTGGCTGAGCACGGAGCACATTCAAACTCCCAGGTAATGAAAAGCCGAGGAAAAGGTGCCCTATTGCATTCCCTGAACATCAAGAGGCTTAGACATGTTCTGTAAACGCGAGTTTGGTCCTAGACAACCCTTTCAAGACTTCAGTTCTTCACCAAGCTCAAGTATCAGCGACAAATTACGTGGAGCAGCTTCGTCTTAAAACCCTGAATACTGAGAGCAGGATTCTCTTTGCTTGCAGCTCTAGAAAACCACGCATGCTCCAGGGAGGGACTTTCCAAGCAACTGAGTTTTGCACCCACTTCATGCTGATGAAAAACATGCGGTTTGTGAAAGGGGAGGCAGACCCTCAGCACCTTAAAATCCTTCCATTGCCAGTCCTTTGCCTTGCTCACCACTTGAAGGGCAGCAGCAGAGGCTGGACTATCTAGATCCAACCTTCAGCTAGCTGAATACAGTTAAAACTAAAATAAACTAGTTGTCTAAATTCCAGTTGTATCTAAAACCGTGATACTAAAGAGGCAGCTGCCACCTTACACACTGGAGATGCTCCCAGTATCAAGACACTGGGACTGTAATATGCCCAGGACGCTTCAGAGCCGTGCCCCAGGGCTGTGGTCAGGATGCGGGAACCAAACTCTCCCTCAAGCTTCAGCCTGGCAGGGACCCTTTGGGAACCCCCAGAACAAACCCACAGGGCCAGGCACCCCAAAGAGCCCTCAGCTGCGCTTGCCATAAAAATCGCTGCTCACAAGCATGTGGATGCCTGGAAGTTCAAGGGTGAAGTGGGGTTTCTCCTCCTCCTGAGGCCGTTCCTCCTCTCCCCAGTGACCCAATTCCCAGGCATGACCTCCAACTCACTTGCTGAAATGGTATCACCCCACAGGCAGGAACCAAAACTCTTCTAACCAGAGAAAACAAAAGCCCAGAGCACATCCACGTGCTAAATACTCAGCTGGAGAAGTCAGCATCTCGGT